CTAAGATCCTTGGCCCATACTCTGATACTTCTCTTTGCCAAGCCAGAGGAACCAAACCTCTTCCCCTAGCTAAACTATAGAAAAAAGATGAAAAGAAAGTGTTTAGGGAGTCTAGAGGAGAAGGGGAAAAAGATTAGAATCAGTGCCCATAGATAGGCGGTAGGTGGCAACTTGGTACCTGAAATGGACCTGCCTGAAGCTGAACTGGGTTCAAGTCCTACCTCAGACACTGTGATACTGAGTCATTTAATATCTTTGAGCCTCAGTTTTCTCATCTATAAAATGGGGATAATAATGTTCCTTTGATCCCCAGGGGTACTATGTTAACACTAGCCTGGACCCCTATTCCTTAATATCTGTCCTTCCTCCACTCCCTCAGCACAGTGGTGGTACCCACTATGAATCACTGTGTCTTTCTTCTGCCAGGCCTGGGGGCAGGGCAGTCTTGAGATCATTTTCACATTCTGCGGCTCTACATTGCTCCATAGAACATTTGGGGGGTGTTTGCCACTAACCCTATGGAAACTTACCTTGCTCCCTGACCGCTGCTTTCCTTCTTGGGAATTTCTATTAGTTCATTCTAGCCTCTGCTAAATTCCACTTAGATTAGTAATAGCAGAATTAACAACAGGATTCACCTGTGAATCCTAGAATAATTTCTAAGGAACTCAAAAAGGAATAGCTATAGATAGGTATAGCCATAGGCATAATTATAGTTAGTACTCACTTGTTTTTGGAAATCTGCCAAAATGAAGATGGGCTTATGTAAAACAAGAATGTTGCCTATGGGCTTTGGAAAGGATACAGCTGATGTCATGTTGTGAGATGAGTGCTCTTATGTCCAAGGAGAGAATCTCCTGCCTCTGACACATGGTGGCTGGGTGACCCTGGCCAACTTAACTTTCCAGGGCTTTAGCCAACTCTCAGGTTCTTAAACTAAGGTCCATGATCTTTAAAAAAATTTTTAACAAGTATTTCTCTCTAATTGGTTTCTTTTGTAATATAATATATAATTTTACATTAAATAGTATAACGTAATATAACTTATGATACAATTTTGTTTTATGTATTAAAAATATTATTCTAACAAGGGGTCCGTGGATTTCATCAGATTGCCAGAGGGGTCCATGACACAAAAAAATTTAACCCCTGCTTTAAGACCAAGTTGCAGAGAAGATGCCAACCTGCATTGGTAGAAGGATTTTCCTCACCTGGGAGTTCATGAAATCATAGGTCCAGTTACTATCCCTAAATAGTATGACTGATATACAGATTCAGCTAGATTATAAGATACATGAGAGTAGAAGCTTTCTTATTTAAATGTTCTGTATCTTTCAGCTAATACCACAGTGCTTTGTACCAATTGTTGTTTTTTGGCCATTTCAGCTGTGCCCAACTCTTGCGATCCCATTTGGGGTTTTCTTGGCAAAGATACTGGATTGGTTTGCCATTTCCTTCTCCAGTTCATTTTACAGATGAGGAAACCGAGGCAATCAGAGTTAAGTGACTTGCCCAGGGTCACACAGCTAGTAAGTGGCTGAGAGGCCAGATTTGAAGTCAGGGAGATGAGTCTTCCTGACTGCAGGCTTGATGTTCTGTCCACTGTGCCACCTAGCTGTCCATCTTTGCACTAATAGATCAATTTCAAATCAGCAAGCCCTCCAAATCTAAGTGCCACACAGGGTTGGTATGGACCCGAGTTCTTATAGTCCCCTTTGGACTATGTGAGTTGTCCCAAGTCTGGTAGCAGCAAATTGTGTGTGATGAGCGCAGAGTAGATCACCAAACCTCTTTGGTGGGCTCAGTTATGCTTCCTTGCTCTGTTGCTCTCTTTCTGTGATTTCCTTTTACTTTGAGTTTTCCTTAGATCACTAAAATAAATGGGTAGTAGGCAAGATTAGACCAGAGCAGCATAGTTAGACCTCCCAACTCCTTTCTCTTTTAGATACTTGGCTTCACCATGGGAACAGGAGCTCTGACAGCCAGTTTTAGAGGATTCAAATCAGTTTCATAGTCCCTCCTTGTGCCTATGCCTCATGTTCTGGTGAGTCCATGACAATGTGCCCTCAAACTCTAAAGCACATGTCCGGGCTAAGAGATCATATAGAATTATTAGAGAGGCCTTTATAAGACTATGCTACAAAGCCAACATTTTGTTTCTAGTCTATGCCAAGCATTGTTCTAGACAGTGTGGTCGTTGCCATCAAAGGGTCTACAATAAAAATAATGATAATAATAATTAATATTTATATAATTCTTTAAATGAACATTTATACAGTACTTGAAATTATAAATTTAATTATAAATTAACATTTATGTAGTGCTTTGAAGGTTTACACTGTGCTTTCCTAGCAACAATGTGGTAGGGTACTTGGTATAACTATTATAAATCCATTTTTTGATGAGAAAACTGAGGTTCCTGTAAGTTAAATGACGTGCCAATAGTCATATTTAGAGATAGGAGTTTCAACCCAGGTCTCCCAACTTGAAGTCCAGTGTGCTCTTTCTGCCCTCCCAAAAGGCTTCTGGAGTTTGGGAAAGAAAGCTTATCCATGTGAAACAATTAGATAATAATTACATGTTTAACTGTGTGGCATAGACTATAAATATAATTAGGAGTTCAGAGAAGGGAGGGAACAGCGTAGGTTGGAGTAGTTGGAGAAAGTTTCATGAGAGAACATAGGTCTTTTAAGTAGGAGTTCAACAAAAGAGGGAGAGGAGAAGACTGGGTAGGGTTAATGTCAGACTAGTCTGAGCAAAGTCAGGGAGGGTCATGAGGTAACAAGGGCAAACCACGAAGTGTCAGCCCTAAGCCTTTCAGTTCCACTAGCCTCTTAAATTCAAACACGCATTATCTTCTTTATCACAGAGCCATGTGAATCTGAACTTGGAGTCAGCGAAAAGGGGGTTTGAGTCCCACCTCAGACACTCGAAGTGATGCCCAGCAAATTACTGGAACTCATTCAGCCACAGTTTCCTCATGTATAAAATAGGGGTAATAATAGATCCCACCTCACAAGGTTCTTATGAGGGTCAAATGAGATAATATATGTCAGGTGCTTTGCAAACCTTAAATCCTATGTAAATGATGTCTACTATTATGTCACTCACATAAAGACAGTCTTTGTTGTTGTTCGATCATTTTTTTCAGATGAGTACACTTCTTAGCTTCGGTTTGGGTTTTCTTGGCTAAGGTACTGAAGTGGTTTGCCATTTCCTTTTCTAGTTTGTTTTACAGATGAGGAGACTGAGGGAAACAGTATTAGGTGACTTATCCAGGGTTACACAGCTAGAGTCTGAGGCTAGAGTTGAACTCAGGTCCTCCTGATTCCAGGGTTGGCACTCTATCTACTGTGCCACATTGAGCTGCCCCAAAGACAGTCTACATGATGCCAAGATGATGAGTGATTTCAGTCTAGCTGTTAAAGTCAGAGAAGGGTGGGCCAGGAATCATTTATATTACATGTTTGCCTTAATTGTCAGGTCAATTTTCATCAAAACTGCCTCTCTGATAACCTAGTAATGTATTACATTCATTATTTGTGGGTTGATAGATACCATAGTTTGTCAAATTATATTGCCAGCTTATAAACATTTTAATGATTGTACTTTAATAAACATTTACATATTACCTACTAACTATGACATATTATTGTTTCAGGAGGAGCATCTAAGTATTCATTTTAAAGAGATATTCAGTCTTAGATCTTTATAGTAAATCTGTACCAATTATTTTTCATATTAATTGATTTCTGTGGGATAGTGGGATCAAAATAATTCACTTTTAAACTTCTAAAGCCCATTTAATTTAAACAACTCAGAATATTTTCTGTGTATAGACTTGGCTATAAATATAGATATGGTTGTTAAAGAGAAAGTCACATTAATTGTGGAAGTAAAAAATCAGAGAAGGAAATAACTTGTCCAGTTAAGTCATCAGAGGCACTGGTCAAACATTTGGCCACTGCTAATACACAGTCATCAGAAGTGAATTTATACTGGCCTTGCTGCAGGGTATCTTGGAAATAACTGATTATTTTTTTCTTTGTAAATGACTGAAAACATAAGGATTCATTGAAATCCCTTGTAGACAAGAGTTGAAAATGTTTTTTTTTTCTGAGAATCCAGCTAGTCTAACTTTACACCTTGAAAAAAATGAAGGAAATATTTTACTGATAGAACTTGATGATATATAATATATTCAGTGTGGAATATATGAATGTATATATAACATGTGTGTGTATATGTGTGTGTGTATATATATATATATATATATGCATATATGTGTAGAAATCTCCAGAGACTCTTTTAAACAGAAACATGCAGTTCATGTGCTCCTTTTAGTTTAAGTAAATTAGCTGTAGAGTTCAAGAAGATTCTTCTACTCCGTAAAAAAAATTTCGGAATTCCGCATAAATTTTGTTTTATTTGCTCAGTGTTTTAATGAGAATTGTGTTGCTGAGCCAGGAAGGTAAAGCATTAGGAATGCTAGGCGAGTGTGGGTTGTATTTGATGTTCCTACACTGCACAAAAGAATAGAATTTGCAGGGTGTTGTTCAGTGAAGCGTTTTCAAGTTACCCACAGTGGTGTCTATTGTCCTGTGTCTGAATTGAATGATGTCATGTTTCATTTAAGGCTCTTAGTGATGGTGGAGGCTGTGGTCTGCACACTGGGGGTGGAGGGGGTGCTAGGGCGGGGAGTGGGGGGGAAGGTAGCGAGAAAGTTGCAAATCAGGTTTCTGCGAAGCCTTTGTGTTTTAGGTTTTGATAGATAAAAGCTGACTCATGCAATATTTCCAGTGAAGGAGCTGCACGGACTAGTAAAGGCTTCTCATTTTACCTGAGCTGAGCGAGCCCTCACTGAGGTAATCTGTATCAGCTGAAGGCAGGGGATGTGTTTGGCTTCAATGGGATACAGGTAAACGGGGTAATTGGTGCAGAGCACACTGGAGACATTGAGAGGGACTGGAGCTTTCCCTCGGCTCGGAGCAATCTGGAACTGGGAGACATTCCACAGTGGTAAGAGACTGTCGCGGAGGGGGTTTCTTCTTCTGCACTTTGCGGGGGGTGTGGGTGGGGGCGGAATGGGGTGGAATATAGATGAGTTTCCCCCTGAGGGAACGGAGAAGGATTCCGCCTTAAACCAGGCATTGTAGAAAGAGCTATTCAACGAATGGAATTAGTCTCTAGGAGGTAGATTCTCTTTGCTTCTAGGCTAAGTCTCTTGTTTGACTTTGCTTGTTACTCAGAGTTCAACTGAAGTATCTAGACTTAGCTGTGGTTGCTTCAGGGGTGAATCTGTGCTGTTAAGGAAGTCTCATTAAACCAAGGCTGAATGTCTCCGTTGGCTTTCTTTGTGAACTGCCTGTTTGGACCGCAGTTTCTTAAATGGGGTTTGGAATTTTAGCCTTGGTTGGGGATTAGCAGCGAGGTTCGGGATAGAGATTTAGCTTTTGCCAAATGCGTCCACTGTGAGACTTTGCTTTAAAATCAGGTAGACCTTCTAATAGGAAATGCGCAAAAAAGAACTTTGGCTGGTTAGGGACACTTGTTAGGATGCACCCAAGTCGGAAATCGGGGGCAGACGTGTCTAGCAAGACCAGAGTTAGAACTCGGTCCTCAGGTTTGATTTAGTATCGTTTACTTCATTAGTTGTGTTCTTACACTGTGAATATCATTAAATTCAAATATTCAGATTTTTTATGCATGGATATTTTAAATATATGTTCCGATATTTTAAAAAATTAATTACTTAAACGCAGTTTCCTTTTAAAAAAATATTTCCAGAAAAATAGAAGTGTGATCTTAACTTTGTTGTTTTGGAAATTGCTTGGCAACTTGGTTGGTCCAGATGAAATTCTGCCCACGTTATACCACTGTTGTGTAGATTTCAGCGTAAAGACCAACTTGAATTTTCACATCATAAGAAAGGTATTGTGTTGATTTCTCAGATTCGAATGATTAGATAGATGAAAGAGATGATAGAGATAAGACAAAGTAACTATTAAGCATTTACTATGTGCCAGGCACTGAGCCAAGTGCTGGATACGTTCTGATTTATTATTATTCAGTTCGAATTTAAAATTCATGTTTAGGTCTTCGGCAAAGATGATAGCATTTTTCATCTTCAAGACCAAGAATTAGCAAGAATTGAAAGTTAATTCAATTGAGGAATCATTTATTAAGTGCTTACTATATACAATGCACTACACTAGGAGTTGGGAGTGCAAAGACCAAATGAAAAACATTCCGAGTCTTCTGGAAGCTTATATTCCGTTGGTGGTGGAGGGAGATGCAAAATATGGGCATTAAGAGTAAACACGTAGAGGTTGTGTCTTTCCTTTTATTTATATCCCCTAAGCCCAGCATAGTGCCTGGAACATAATAGGCACTTAATAAATGCTTGTCGTTGATTGACTGATAAATTCAATATAATTTGAGGAAGGAGTAGAGACATAACTGGTATTTTTATTTTATTTTTATTTTACCTAGGGCAAGTAGTACAGAGTGTTCTTTCAAATAATCTTTTAAGACTAACTGGGGGAAGAAGTGTAGAGAGAAACCCCCTGAAGGCTGCAAGGAGGGAAGAAGTGCTAGGTTGGTTGCTCGCAGTAGGGGAGAGGAGCAACTATCAGCTTCCCATTGTACTCACTTTTTTCTTACAAACAACAGTTTATTCACTGCTAAAGAAATGCAATGGCTTTCAACACCTTCTAAATTTCAGTTCTCTCACTTTGGCACCTTTCTCCCCACCCTAGTTAAAACTCTGGAAGGTAGGGAGTGTGTTAACAAGTAGGCAGACCAAGAAAGCTTTCCCATAGGGCAGCGTCAGAGGAGATTTAGAGATGGAGGTGGAGGTAGTGATAGAAGATATTCCAAGCATAATGTAGTTGCTGTTTATGCAGTAACTGGGGGCATTGGTGGTAAATACAGATGTGCAATTAAAGTGCATTTTCCTGTTTGCCACTAAATTATTCACACAAAGAAGTTTAAGAGTTGGGAGATGGTTGTCTAATGCAATCCTCTCATTGTGTAGGTGACACAGTTGAATTCCAAATAGTTTTATCTTCCGTAAAATGAGAGGTTAGACTAGACATCCCTTCAAACTCTAGATCTATGATCCAATAAATGAAATTATGATGAGTTCTTAATGAACTCTCAGTGTTTTTGGACTCCCTTCTCATACCATAGGTATGTTTTTTAAAGCTTTCATCTAACCAGTATGACTTAATCAGTCTATTTTCTATCCACAGATACAGTTTTTGGTTCCTCTTTTGACATAATTCCCTTTGGAGTGGAATAGTCAGCATTTCTGACCACTATGTAGAAAAGAGATGTCTTCCTTGTTAGAATTCCTTTTAAGTTCCTTTTATCCATTGCCATTTACTTCTTTCCATTTGTCTATGGAAGTAGCTTGACTGATGTCACCATGGAAGCAAGAGTTTTGATGGATGAATTCTAATAGCAGAAAGTGAAAAGCCAGACAAAGAAAATGATACTATGGAGTAATAATAATACTTCACATTTATATGGTGCTTTCTAATCTTCAGATTACTTGCAAATATAGTATCTAACTTGATCTTTAGAACTACCCTGTGAGGGAAGCAGGGATTATTATTACCATTTTACAAATGAGAAAATCAAGGATTTGGATGTTGTAACTTGTTCAAGAACTCTTAGTAAGTGGTAGAACTAGGCTTTGAACCTTCCTCCACTATATAAGGATGACCTGTAGAGTAAAATCTGCCAAGCTGGAATAGTAGAAGCCTAGAAATATATGGAATTATTGGCCCAGACCTCTTATTAGTACAATAATCATGTTATTATTTCATTGAACCAAGGCCTGGAAGTCCATATTGTTTTGTGGTTTTCACTTGTTGTGGACTTACTATCCCAAAGAGTGTTTTTCATTAGTCTGTTGTGTTTAGGGTTAGAAGGTACCCTCAGAGTAGCAGCAGCATCTCTGTGCTATGCAAATGATCGGTGCCTTCAGCACTTCATGGAAATCCTGTGTGTATAGTAGGTGCTTAATGGTTATTTGTTGAATGAATGCATGACTGCATGAATGGTTTTCATGGTTTTTAACATCTTTATATGATGTCATTTTTCTGTGCTAAAGTCAATTGTTTTAATATCAGATCTTTTTTTTAGGTCTCCCAAGAAAGTCTCATTTGTACATTTCACTTTTTTCTTTGTCTTTTCCTGGGATATGTGTCATGAGACATATAGTATTCAACTGTCAATGAACAAGTATGGCATTTTAGCTGGTCCTTGAACAAAACTAGAGCTTCTTAGAGGAAGAGGTGAGTAGAGAGTGAATGGGAGACAGCCTATAAAAAGGCACAGAGATGGAGATGGAATAATGTGTGTGACAAACAGCAAGATAAAGCTCATCCCACTCTCTCTCTTGGTTCCTATTCTGTGCTACCAAGAGTAGGTGTCTCACAATGAGAATAACAATGAACAGGACTCAGAAAAGAGTGCCCCTACCAGATCAGGACATTCCTGCAAACTCAGGGAAGGTGGGCTCATCTCTTTGTACAGGAAAGAATCAGTCTTGTGAAAGGAAATGCAGTTAAATTGCAATTTTAGGAATAAAAGAAATCTTAGAGATGATGTCTTAAAATACATGTATGAATAAGCATAACTTCATGGAGATTAAGATTTTTTTTTATTCCCTCAAAGGACAGCACAGAGGACATTCATCACATTAGAATAAGATTTTAACTTAAAATTCAGTCAAATAAATGTTCTAGATATTCTTGCCTCTTCCGGTTTCTGTGACAGAGCTCTTGCCTTATTCTTCTCTGTTCTCTCCTCATTCTCCTGTTCTCTACTCATCCTTCTCTGACAACTTCTGTAGTTTCTTTGGCTACTTCCTCTTGTTCCTCCTGCCCCCTAAGTTGGTCATCTCCCAAGTTTCTCGTTCTAGTCCTCTTCTCTTGTCCTACTTCTGACACTGCCTTGGTGACCTCATCCAGTCCCATGGCTTCAAATATCACTTCTCTATGTATGGGTACCAGATCTTTGTCTCTCCTTCTTTTATCTCCCCAGAACTCCAATGCATTGTTTTCAATAGCAAGCAAGAAAAACATCAGAACTTGGATGGCCTGCTAAACCTTAACGTGTCCAAAACCAAACTCATTATCTTTACTTTGAAACCTTTCCCCTCATCCCCTGCCTTACTTCTCTATTTCAGCCACCCCAGTTCAAAACCTTAAATGCATCTTTAATTTTTTCCCTTCCTTCACCACCCATATACATCCAATTGGCCACATTCTGTCAACTTGGCCTCTATTATCATAGCTCTGACATTTGCTCTCTCATCCTTTCTTCTTTTCATTTTTTGTCCCCTGTGTTACCTAGCATAGTACCTAATAACATATCTGTTGAATCTGGTTCAATCATGAGAAACAACTTACAAAATTATAAAAAATTTTAGAGATAGACTTAAAATTAAAGCTCTAGCTCAGTTTCCTCACTTTTCTTTTAGGGTCTTAGTTACTTTAAATTCGAAGCAACTTGCCTAAGATCATACATCCAATTTGTACTAGCTCTAAGGGAGAATTGATCCCACATTTTCTAACTCCTAGTCCAATTTATTTAAAAATAAAATTTTATTATGATAATAAACTATTACTTTATACCACCTCAATTTCCCCCATACACATCCCTTTCACAGCGATCCCTTATGACAAAGAATTTCTGTAGAAAAAAGGAGAAAAAAATCAATAAAACTGGTAAATTACCTCCCCAAAAATCTGCACACTTGTGGAACTCTCACCTTTGCAAAGGAGTAGAGTTGGGGAAGGGGAGATCTTCTTATACTCTTTGGGATCAAGTTTTTTTTTCTTTCTTTATAATTTTGCACTATTCATTAGCAAAGATTTTATGGTGGCGGTTGTTTCCATTTTCATTGTTATTGTTATTGTATACTGTGTGCTTTCAGTTACACCGCCTTGGCTTCCTTCTTATCCTAAGAGCCAAAAAGAAGACACATAGCCCTTTCTATATTCTTCCCCCTACCACAAATACAATGTCAGGCCTACAGGATCCCATGTGAAGTTGTCCTGGTTTGTTTTGTGATGTGTCAGGAAGTTCCCAAAGTATAGTGGGTAAGATAGACTGTACAAGAAACCTAGAAGCCACCAGCCTTATCGTTGGGGGAGAATGAATCACCCATAGGATAATACAGTCATCTACTTTCCCTCAAAACAAACTCCTTTTACCTGGGTAGAGGAGAATTTTTCTTCCTCTGTAATTATCTGTCTGAGAATATGACTTAAGAATAACTGTGGAAAATCAGTGGTGCTGATAACCAGCCCCTAATAGCACAAACATATATCCATGCAAGTTCATTGCAATCTATAATAAACTAAATGGAAAAACAACTTTGAGATCTACCAAGTCTTCAGATCACTGTTGGCATTTGAGCTGAGCAAAGCATTTGGGCAACTTCTTCCCTTAAGTTAACATACTAATTTTATAATGTAGCAGAAGGTACTTAGATGAGAACAGTAGTAGGTAGCAAACAGCTTTAGAATAGATTAATTGGTGAAAATCTTAACTAGATTTGAGAAAGGGGAGAATGAGATTTAAATATTTTTCACTGAAGCATCTTTCCTTATGTGTGAAAACATGTAATTATCATTTTCTACATGTTGAACCAACATTAAAAAAATGCTGTCCTTTATTAGCATTTATAGGTCTGAGTTTCTGCCTGTTCTCACCATTTTTAGGGCCAAATTTAAGCAATTTCCCTTAGGACACCAGTAACTTGGCTGAGCAGTATTTAGCTTGGTTCATAATACTTTGAAAAGTCATAAGGATCTTAAGGGTCCCAAGCATCCAAAAGAATTCAGTTTTAGAATGTGGCCTCATGGCTAAGATGAAATGATGCTATGGTCTTCGTGGCCCTGATATTTTGGGACTTGGGGAAGTATCTTCAGAAGAACCCAGTTGTTTATTTTTCAGTTGGTGGTAGGATTCAGTGCTTCATTGTCTTGGATTTCATATCTCAATTTTTTCTGTCCTTAGAAGCATTTTGCTGATTCTTAGGAAAGCATTGTTATTCCCACTAGAGGTGGCTAGATGGAAGAGTGGGTAGAGTACTGTACCTGGAGTCAGGAAGACTTAAGTTCAAATGTGGCTTCAGCTCTTTTGTAGCTATGTTCCTTACCTTTGGTAAGTTGAGGGGCCATGTCCAGTCATCCTGATCTATATCTTGCCACTGGACCCAGATGGCTCTGAAGGAGAGAGTGAGGCTGGTGAACTTGCACAGCCCTCCCTCACTTAAATCCAATTCATTGCAAGTCATGGCATCATCTTGTTAATATCATGGTCCTCTGCTAGAATGAAAGACAAACAACAAACAATCTTTGTTAAGTCACTGAACCCCTTTTTGCCTTAGTTTTTTCAATTGTGATATGGGGATCATAACAGCACCTACCTCCCTGGGTTACTGTGAGGATCAAATGAGGTAATTTGCAAAGGGCTTAGCACAGGGCCTGGTGCATAGTAGGTGCTTAATAAATGCTTGTTGCTTTCTCCTGCTAGTCCTAATTATGTCCTCCAAATGTCTCCTGTTTTTCCCCTCCTTTTTTCTTCCACCTAGCCCTTGCTAGCAGCTATTGATGTTGGAGAACAAATAAGAAGATAAATAGATTTGGGATCAAATTCCTTTATCTACTGTATTTGTTACTTTCTACTAGACTAGTGACAAATAATTGAGGCTAATGTTCCATGTACCATTTTTCATTCTGAGGAGGCTGATTATTTCATATTATTATCTGCCTCTCATTTTAAAGATTAGGAAAACAGAGGCCCAGTGAGATTAAGTAACCTGCACAAGATTTCATGTACAGAAGTGTTGTTTAAGTCTGTAAAATGAAGGGATTGGACTTCTTGACCTTTGAGGAATTCTTCAGTGTTAAATTGATGATAACCTGGTTTAGCTTTAGCCTTTATTAAGTTTATCAAATACTACCTTCTACAGACCTAGCTGGATCAAATCATAAATCCTAGCCTTCCCAAAGTATACTTCAAACCAATCTTTGGTTCCATCTCACTGGAATCTCTCCTACTAAGAGGACCTAGCTCTAGTCTAAGCTTCCCGAAGCCACTTTGAGCCCCACTTTCCTTCCTATGATAGAACCCAAATCCCAGAGTAGGGTCAGTCAGTAGTAATGGAGAAGGCAGATGGGATGACAATCTCACTTGTTTTTTTTCTCCATTTTGGATTTCCCATGACTCTGTGTTTCCCTACAAGTGCATTCAAATGCACTGCTGTATTATTTGGATTTATGCCATAATCATGCCATAGCAGGCTTTTAAGGGCAAATGCATGTAACTACGATACCTAATCCGTGTTTTATAGACCATAAAATTGTTATAAAGCAAGCAGAAAGAAGATAGCAAAAGCTTTAAAAAGTGTTGCAGACATACCATGTGGCTGTAGTTATTGGTAAAATAGTATATCATCTTCCATCTTCCAGGTATTTCTTTATTATTCCTTCTTCTGGGATCAAGTATCGCTTGTTTTCTTCATTTTATGTTGATAAATTCAGCAGTGCTTATGGTGTGAGCATTACTAGCCATTACTGTTTTCACAAGACATGAGACATCATGCTGGTTAAAAAAAAAAAAGATGAGGACTACACAGGGACTTAAAGCAAAAATTGTTTGAGCTCCAAGTATGTAGGCACCACCTAAAAAGGAGTGCTTTGTGATACAATTGAAATCACCTTTCCATTGTTTAGTTAGTAGAAATATATCTTTGTTTTACTTGAGTTGAACACTTTTCAGTCACTTAAACTTTGAACTGCTAGCCAAACCCATGAGTTTCTAATGAGGATGTAAACAATTTTCTTGCCTCAGCAAAACCATGGATGTAAATTTGGAGTAAGAAATTGACAACAACACCATTTTATGTAAATCATGATTTTTATTACAAGATTTTTAATCTTCTCTAAACTGGAATGTCTTTATTAAGACCTGTTAAATAGAAAAAAAGAATATGAGATACCAAAGACAATGTTTTGTGTGTAATGTGAAAGGAATGATGTTTTACTATAACAGTCTTTGATGGATAGCTTAAACTCCAGAGGACTGTAGGATTTAGACCTGGAAAGGACCATGGAAATAAAGGAGAGAGAAACAGAGAGACAGAGAGAGACAGAGACAGGGAGAGAGAGAGAGAGAGAGAGAGAGAGAAGGAGAAAGAGAGAATTCAATTTGTTAAACAACCATTTTGACTCATAAATATATTAATATTGATATTTATTTAGAAGAGAATCTCAATGTTCTCTTCCAACATTATTAGTCTTGCTGCTTTAAAAAAGTTTTTTTTAGTTATTCCAATTTTAATTCCAATCCAATTATTCATTTCAACTATTCACTTTAACTATGTGAATTTAGTCATTCTATTAAATCTTTTAATCGCCATGAGTAGGGACCAGTATGTTTTGGTCAAATAAATATTCTAGTTACCTGAAAGTGAGTACATTTATCATACAAAGAATGTTCATTTTCTAAGAACTTAGAGTGCAACAAAAAAGCACAAGAATAAATTTTTTTCAGTATCGTTTTTTCTTTGACACGTAGTTACCTCAGAATGTTGCAGCTTAATTGCTATAAATGTCACTTCACACTGTTTCCTTCAAAAACATTAGTGCTAGGGGCCAGCTAGGTGGTAGCTAGGTGGTGCAGTGGATAGGGTACTGGCCCTGAAGTCAGGAGGACCTGAGTTCAAGTCCAGTTTCAGACCAAACACTTGACACTAGCTGTGTGACCCTGGGCAAGTCACTTAACCCCAATTGCCTTAAAAAAAAAATTAGTGCTTACTCTATGAAGCATGTTGTGCTAGGGGAAATATAAGACTTGGTCATGGTTTCTGTCTGCATAAAGTTTTCAGTTTAGTAAGAGAATAAGATACAAGCAGTTAACTGTGAGATACATTATATGATAATTGCATTAGAAAGTTGCCAAAATAAACATCTTATGAAGTCTGAAACACAATGTGGTTGTTGAATGGAAGGAGCTGGAGAAAGTTTGATGAAAGCAGAGAGCAAAGACTTTGTCATGTCTTTGTATAGCTCTTTCCTGGCATAACACCTTCCATAACACTACCATGTGATAGACACTAAATTTTGTGGCATAAGTAAAAGAATGAATAAATCACTGTGCTTCTGATAAATTGAAGTGTTTGCTTTAATTCTGAAAAGGACAGAGCAGTTTAGAACTCATAGAATCATAGATTTAGAGATAGAAAGGGACCCAGTCTTAAAAAAAAAAGGATAAAAAAAATCAGAGATTTCTTTGACTATCATTAAACCTAAGCAAGGTTGGAAAGTTCTAAGTGAATTTCATGGGATTACAGAGATACTGGTATTATCATTTTCCTTACCCAAGAAAAGCAAGATAATTGGCTATATAACTCTTTAGCATGCAACTTACCAAGCACTTTTAAAGTACCTATTATATGTTAGGTATGGGAGGTAAAATAATTACAAATGAAATAGTGCTTGCCCTCAAGGAACTTAAGGTTCAGTAGGAGGGTTGGGAAGGGTCATGCTACACAGATAAATAAATATAAAATTTGTGCAAAGTAATTTCAGACAGGAAAGGCACTAATTATTGGGGTTATCAGGAAAGGCCCTATGTAGGAGATTGAGAGCATTCCAAAATGGGTATGTACAAGAGTACAGAACCAGGAGATGGAATGTCATATACTGGGAATGTCAAGTCTGAATTCTAGATTATTGACAAGAAGCCAAAGATTGGGGAAGTTGTAGTTACAGTGGAAGCCTTAAGCCTTCCAGCTCAGATGAAACGTGTGCTTCCTTCTGTTAATGGAGCTTGCAGTAGTCTTCTCCCATTGTTGCAAAGAATTTGAGCATAATTAGTTTTCAAAGTCATCTCCTAAGACTGTGGTTAGCACAAACTTTATTCTGAACAATTTTATTATTTGTTTTTTATTTGTTTACATTTAGATGACAACCAGACTCTTCAGACTTCTCCAGCTGTGAGAGAGGTTGCTGTTTCCAAGGCAGATTTTCACCAAGAGAAAAGGCATTTCTCCTACTGTGGACCAAAGACCATGGAACTGTCAGACAGTGACCGGCCTGTGAGTTTTAGCTCCACGTCCTCCTCTGCCTCTTCCAGGGACAGCCACTGTTCCTTTGGCAGCAGGTTGACCTTAGCTCCCAATGGCCATTTGAGCTTGTGTAATAACCAAGACAAGGAAACAGGGGCCATAAAGCTTGAGCTGATGCCCACGAGGAGATTCTCCAGCAGTGAAGTTCAGAAGAATCCCCCAGAGGAGAAACAGAACATGGAAGAAAACAGTGAAAAGTGGCCGGGAGTGCTGAGGACAACCGAAGCAAAAGGAGCAAGCAAAAATGGCACCCTCTCCCTAGTTGCAGAGTCTACTACAAGCCCTAAACTTCTCTATGTGGATAGAGTAGTTCAAGAAATTCTGGAGACTGAGAGGACCTACGTACAAGATTTAAAAAGCATTGTGAAGGTAAGGGAATTTTTTAAAGATGACAAAATATAAACAAAAACCAAAACTAATCATATCCTAGAGAATGATTTGGATTGCCTCCCCCCTAAAAAGGTAAGAATCCCTGTTATCTACTCATTTGATTTGTACAAATGTTAGTATTAGCCCTGTCTTACTTATAAGGCATCCAAGGACCACACCAAACTTATATTTAGCATAACCCTAATATTGTTACCTTTTGATTACCTGTTATCATAGTGATGCTTCCAAGTATTACAAGCCCATGCTTTACAAAAATACTTTGCATTCGTAAATCTTTTCATCAGAGGATCTCAAAATCCCAAACAGCACAAGGAGACAAAAAGGTCAAGGTTGTACTTTGTCAACATTCACAAGTAGACCTGAAGTCTCCTGACTGCTGGGTTGTTATAATCTCTTCTACCATCTTTAGTTCTTTGTTGACCCATAAGTCACTGAAGACAAGGAGAAACAGCTTGGGCCACTTCTTGGATATTCTCTTGTTGTTCACTTTTTAAGCTTAGGTAAGGTTAAGTATTTGTTAAAATCCCTAATATAGAAAATTGATCACTTTTTTGAGTTTGACAACAAATTGAATTTTTAAAAAATTTATTTAGTATTTTATTGTCCCTCAATTACTTGTAAAAACAATTTTTAGCATTCATTTATTATAGTTCTTTTTAATTTAATTTTATTTTTAATTTATGGAATAAAACAAGCATTTTCGTGACACAGTACAATAAAAAAGATGATTATAAGTGAAACTACAAATCTACTATGCACAACTTACTGTTCCCTTCAAATACACAACAAAATTATCATGTAATTTTTTCTTCTTTTTTCTCCCCTCTGTCCCCATCCTAGAGATAGCTTCCATTAGACACAAATGTGTATATATTTATTTATGTAAAATTATTCTATACAAATTTCTATTTATCTATTCTTTCTCTGGATACAGATAGTCTTTCTTCATATGTCCTTTATATTTAATTTGGGTAACAAATTGAATTTTATGTAACAATGACAGGTTGGTGCTGAGGCCATGCTGATTGATCATCCAATTACTGACTTCCCTGGCTTCTTTTAAATTCCAGCAAAAACCCCACCTTCTACAGGAAGCCTTCCCCAATCCCTCTTAATTCCAGTACCTTCTCTCTGTTCATTATCTCCTATTTATCCTGCATATAGTTTGCTTTATATTTGTTTGCAGGTTGTCTTTCCCCATTAGACTGTAAGCTCCCTGAGGACAGAGACCATCTTTTGCTTCTTTTTGTATCCCCAGAGCTCAGTACAATGCCCGGCACATAGTAGATGCTTCATTAATGTTTATAGATTGATTGATATGATGAACACATGGCCAAGAGGTCTTAGTCTTAGCTTTTATCCTATACAACCATATTACCTTTCCTGATAGATAACATTTGCCTAACTTCTACTGCATTTTAGACTCTTGGTCAAGTGTAACTCAGAGTGGATTAATAACTTGCTAATGAGCACCCCATCTACTAGAAAATTGTATGCACTTAGTTTTAGACAAATTCTAAAGGGTGATTGTCTGCTAGTTGAATTCCAAAAGCGATAGAACCAGGCTTTGCATGCTAAAAATAGTTATGACATAAATCTTCCAGTAGAAATAGAAAAGCCAATTGATGCTCAACAGAAACAATATGTCGTACCAAAAGTGGAGTAAATGAGGCCAATCTTCTTGAAATTTCAGCAATGATGTCATTTTTGTTTGAAGAAAAATACCTATGGAACTGCCAACAATTTTACAAGCTCTTATAAAAAAAAAAACCTTATGGCTCTCAAGGCATTCTTTACTTCTCAGTGGTTAAAAAAAAACAACTCTCCACCTAATAAGGTTCTTCATACTGGGAGACAAAATGAGTTAACTGGAAAAATATTATAAGTATAATGGTTTTGTTAAAAATAAATTGATAAACTTTAGGTAGAAAGAAGCGGTTAATGAATTTATGACAGACCAAAATTACAAAAGGAGTTTTATCTCAGGTGGTTCCAGAGTCATAACTAGGGCAGAGGAACTGGAGCTTACTCCAAGGATGACAAATTTAGAGGACAGTAATATCCCTTGCAATTTTTCAACAGCATAGAATGCAGCATAGAAACAACAATATGTAGTGCCTAGTAATCAGGGATAACCAGTTAAACTAGGGAAGCTACCAGATGTTGGGCTGGAGTTACAGGTGCTTTTTTTTCCCTCTCTCTCCCCAGTGACTACCTCATTCTGATGCCCTGGTTTTTCTACTTTTCACTTATCTTAGTCTGTACTTTCCCCCACCCTGCAGATCCCTGCTTCTGACTCTGAGTGGTGCTAAACAGTCCAAATATTCTTGTCTTCTTTCTTGATTCAGATGCTCATTACCATCTTCCACCCAGATGTGCTAGCTAATAGTGTTTTCAGTTTAACAATAATCATAATTTGTTTTATCTGAATAGCTTCCAGGACACATAATCAACAGATCATTCCCTCTACTACGAATAAATTTGACTTAAAAAAAGCACTCAGAACTCATTCAAACTCTGTTCTGGTCACAGAATAATGCATTGCCTAACCCTCCTTAAAACAGTTTGAATATTTTTTTTTAAAACATTCACTACTGTGAGGGGATGTAGTATGGCAGTAGAGCAGGTGTATGAGAATGACATGAGGGAAAAGAATTAAGAAAGGCAAAGGCAAACCATTTGTGATGCAGTGGTAACTGGAAGAGTACTAGCTTTTGCTTCATCTGGCTCCATCTTTGCAAACGTCCTTTATCCTCTCTGAACTCCTCTAATCATTTCCCAGGAAAAAAAAAATTGGGATCTATAGGAATCAAGATTTACGAACACAAGATTTGTGTTTGCCTAAAAGGAAAGCAGCATTTTCACCTAGGCACATTGGGTCAGCTAGGATAGGAGATTTAGACCTGGAAAGTACCTTAGTGGCCATCTACTCCAACCCTCTTGTTTTAAAGATGAAGGAACTAAAACACAGAGAGCTTAATCTGCCTGAGCAGAGTCATATGGTTAGTGTATGAGATGGCCTTTGAATCCAGTTCTTCTTGATTCTAGATGCAACGTTCTCTGATGATCAAGCTTGTTTTCTTTGTAACGGTGTGATTGCGAGCCCTTTTCATTTTTTTCCCCTTAATATGAAGAACAGCTTTTTTCCTGTTTTCCTACCCTCTCCCCCTTTTCATCCCCATCCCCCTCTCTCTCCATATATGCACACGTATATAATATAGAGAGATGTACATATATATAAATATATATATATTGCTAACTAGCTATATCTTTCTATCTATATCTATACACATGGTGTGAATTTTTTTTAAGATCAATACTATTATAAATACCCAAATTAACTATAAAGGACATATGAAGCAAAATACTATCTGCATCCAGAGAAAGAACTGATAAATAGCTGAATGTATTGAATTCATTCATTACATATATACGTATTTGTGTCTAATGGTAGCCATGGGTAGGGGAGGGAAGGAAGAAAAAAAGGAGAAAAAGAAATTTACATGGTAACTTTATTATATGTTTAATTTTAATAGCATTTTATTTTCCCCCACAATTACCAGTCAAGGAAATTTCTAGCAATCATTTTTATAAGATTTTGAGTTCCAAATTTGTCTCCCTCTCTCCTTCCCCCTCCCCTCTTCTGAAAATGGTAGGCAGTTTGATATAGTTTATACATAGGCTATCATGTAAAATTCATTATATATTTAAAAGGAATAGCAAATTGTACACAATAGGTTTGCAGTTTCATGTACAATCATCTTTTTTTAAATTAAACTATGTTATGGAAATGCTTGTTTTATTTCATAAATTAAAAATAAAATAAATAAAATTTTTTTAAAATGTTGGTTAAACTTTTTTTTAAAAAGATCAATACCTAGCTGCTTTTAAAATCTGCCCTCATTGATTTCATTTTCTAACCCGTTTTGTGCTGTTTATATCCTCAAGATCTCCTCCAATACTTCTGTTTTGCCAGCTATGTGTCTGAGGGCAAGCCTCAAGTTTAAGAAGACCTGAGTTCAGATCTCAACTCTGACACTGGCTCTGTGACCCTCAGCAATTTCCTTTACCTTTCACTGTCCTGCCAGTTTTGTAAGATTGGTTAGTTGTGGAACACTTGCGCATCTTCATTGGTAGAAGAGGGTTTCCTCATTGGAAGGAATGATGAAATCAGAAGTCCAGAAGCCAAATAAAATTTTTTTATTAATTTATTTTGATTTATCAACAATCACTTCCATAAGCCTTTGAGTTTTAAATTTTTCTCCCTCTGCCTCACTCCCTCCCCAGGATGGTGAGCAATCTGATATAGGCTCTACATATACATTCCTATTAAGCATATTTTCACATTAGTGATGTTGTAAGGAGGAATTAGAACCAATAGGAGGAACCATCAGAAAGAGGAAACAAAACAAAACAGAAGAACAAAATAGCAAACAGTATACTTTGATCTGCATTTAAAAAAAAATTTTAAACTCATATCCTAAACTGGAAAAATGGCTGATTTTACAGCCTCTGTGGATCCACCTACTCTCTCCCTACCAGTGGAATGATCTTATATGTTGTATTCAAAAGACAGGGCTTTTTTTTACTCTTTTATATAGTAATTATTCCTCAAAGAGCCTTGTTTAATCTTCATAAGTCTTTTTTTTTCTTTCCTTGGTTTGCCCATCATTCCTCTTTGCTGAACTCTACCCAGCCAATTTAAGTGACTAGCCAAACTCATTTAAATCAAGTTGGTTTTCTTCCCTAATGAAAAATGCTTCCATGTTTCCTATCATCTTATTTGTACACTTCATTGATGTAGGCTTTGATTTATTTAGAAAGTACTATGAATTTTAAAGCAATGACTTATTTTTATCCTCTACACTAGTTTTGCAAATGCAGCAGAAGATTGATCATTTGGCATGTTAGAGAAGGTCTACTCTGCCAAATTTCTGCCTGAGAATGACACTATATGATGTTATTTCACTGAAGGCAAC